CTGTTCAAGTTTGTGGAGAGTCATTTTCGACAAAGGAATAACAAAAATAGTATCGATAGGAATACTACTTAGCACTACTTTTAAAAGTGTAATCCAAGCTCCAACATAGAGATATTTTGATTTTTTACCCTCCTATCCAATTTGTTAAGGAATTCTTATGTATTGAAAATATCTATATTTTATCTAACCATGAAAACAAAGGCACTCCAAAGGTATTTAGTAGGGAAACACATATGATTACACTCGTTTATGTAGGTGCCTAAGATCTAACCTTATTTGCATGGTTTGACTTATTGTAATATTACATTCTTTATTTTATTAATAAAAGAAATCTTTCTATTAATTATAGTCATTGATATTTTGATAGAATTAGATAGAAATCCATATGACATGCATTGTATTAATGGTTGATCGAAAGATATAAGACAAATGCACTTAAGTGATATCATTAAATATCCTAAGTGGTAGCATTTTCAGGAATGAACATTGACTATATGTGATAAGACTTGTGAGTGTTATGCTCATATTATAAGATAGTAGTAAGAGATCTCACACCTATTGGCATGGTAATAGTAAAGCAAGTATATAGATGCTTAATGTTACAAAATATATCATTGGACATGACTCGCTATGAAAAACTATTTTGTTTAGTCTATGAGAATCTCAAACAAGATGGGTACAACTAGTCCTTTGACTTAAAGTCATTATAATAATCTCATTATAGGATTTATGTACTTTGACACTCGTTTTGATGAGCTCGATCAAGAGTCGCACATCGAAAATTCATTTGTTATAATAAAATCTAATGGAGATAGGTGGATAAGTATGCTAGGAAAAGTCATTCCTTATATGCAAAATGAGTTATCACATTACACTTTGATAAATGTATACACAAAGGATCTATGGCCATAGTAGGAGTATACCAATAGAGTGTAGTTTGGTTCACGCTAGAGTTAAGACATTTGAAAAAAAAACTTGTGTGATCATAATTAAGCAAGCCGTAAACTAAGTTCGAGATCACATTATGATAATTGATATGAGGACTAAATTGTATGGTAACAATGCTCGTGAAAAGTAATTACAGATTAATTAATCATCTTAGAGAATTAGGTAACATGATGCCTTGCTAGAGGCTAATTTTGATTTATGTATCTAAAGATAAAATGTGTCTTTATTCTTATTACATTGCTAACATATCTCAAAGCCTATTGAGTCATATGCGAAGTTTAAGCGTTCATATAATGAAAAAGATACAAAGATTTTGAAAAAGTTACGAGTATTAAGAGTTTTCTATTTTGAAAAAGGTTTTCGAAAATGAAAAGTTTCTTGTTTTGGAAAAAAGTTTTCTAAAATGGAAAGTTTTCTATTTTAGAAATCGGTATCTTGATTTGGAAGTTAGTTTCAAATCTATAAGTTAGTTACCTCAAAAGAAAATTAGTTTTCTAATTTAGGTTTAAAGATAATTTTAGAAATTATTTCTTGATGTGGGCTTCTTAAAAATATCTAATTCAATTTATTTGGATAATTTAAATTAATTGATAATTAATTGGGTAAAAAAAACTTGAACTATTTTGGATAAGGCTTAGGATTTGCAAAGATAAGATCAAACAAGCTTACACATATTGCAACTTCTTATCCTTGGAGGACAAGGATGCCACCCCCTATATAAATAATTGGGAGAGAGGTAGCAAATAAGGACATAACAATGTATATGCACATAACAAAAAGAGAAAGAACAAGAGAGAGTGTGTTTTTCCTCTTAAAAGCTTGAGTTATTGCATCCCTCTTTAAAAACCAAATAAGGCCTAGGATTTATAAAGATAAGATTAAACAAGCCCACACATATTGCAACTCTTTGTCCCCGAAGAACAATTATGCCACCCTCTATATAAATAATTGGAAGAGAGGCAGTAAATATGGACATAAAAAAGTATACATATATCAAAAACATAAAGAAAAAGAGAGAGAGTGTGTGTTTTTCTCCCAAAAGCTTGAGTTATCGCATCCTTCCTTAAAAAATCAAATTTATAGTAAAGAAACCTAACTGATTTCTTTAGAAAGAAAATCAATGATATAGAAGGATTAGAGCTAGCACTTTATGATTTTTGTGACTTCCTTTATGGATTCTTAAGAAGTATGGATTAACAATAGAGGTTAGACACTTAGATTGCTTCTTTTTTCTATAAAAGCTAAATTTGTGCTATAAGAGGTAATTTTATACTCATATTTTTAATTCATCTATGTATGATTAGTTAATTCAATGAGTTGATCTTAAGAGCCTTAGATAGAAAAAAATTATTTTATTATGTTCCTTTATAAGTTGCATGATCCCGCATACACTCGATCCATGCCTTGAGTAAAGAAATATGATGAACATGCATTTTTTTTTTAGGTATAAAACCTACTCTTGTATAAAGTACTCGTCTTGAATCTTTTTCATACTTTGTAATCAAATGTCTAAGGGAAGAATTATTTGTTTAGACTTATTAGTGAATAACAACATATTGTCTACATAAAACAAGTGTGTAATGGCTATGTCACCATCTCTTCTTATCCTATAGGGAGTGATCTCGTCCTTTTCGATCGCATTGTCTAAGGAATATGAGAGAACTTATGAAACTAGAATAAATATTAAACCGGACAAAGGTTCCTCATGTCGAACTCATCTACTAGATTTGAAAAAGGTATAGTCTTCTCTCGAACCCTAATGGTATACCAAACATTACTAATGCAACAATATACCAAGTCACTTCACTAATTATGAAAACCCATTTTCCTCATGATCCTTAACAAAAAAGACCATTCAACTCTATCATAAGCTTTATACATATCTAAATTAAAAATAAGGTTGCTACCATGCACATTTACATATAAATCTACCCTTAATTCTTGAGCAATTACCATATTTTTGGTTATACTCCTACCCTTAATAAAACCAACTTGCTCCAAAGAAATGATATAAGGAAGAACCTTACCTACTCTATCCGTCATAATTTTTGAAATAATTTTGTACTCAAATGATGAAAGGCTAATTGGTCTTAAATCACTCATATCGGTAGCATTTTGGAATCTTAGGAATCAAGATTAAAATGATTGTTGCCATACCTCTAGGAATATGCCCACCTCTAAAAAAAAAAAATCCTGGATTTCCAAAGTGACGTTCTACTTAATTAACTCCCAATTACCTTTAAAAAAGAGTCTAGTGAAGCCATCTAAACCTAGGGCACTTGAAGGATTGAGGTCGTTAATTGCCTTCTAAATTTTAGGATTAGATGGGATATTTATAAGCATAGTATTTTAGCTTATCGAAACTTGTTTGAAGTTTCTCATAAATAGAGTATCATGTCTAATAGGTCTACTAGTAAGGAAAAAAAAAAAAAGATCTTTGAAAGACTCAATAGTTATAGGTCCTATAACGTCCATGTCATTTGTAAGGGTTCCATCATATTATCTTAAACTAAAAGATTATTTCCCGGCATCATCCTCAATACAATATGAAAAATAAAACAGGTTTTACGACCACCATTATGTACCCAATTTGCCTTGATTTCTATAGCAATAGATCAACCTCTTGTCGATTCAATTGAGATAAATCATCACTTATGGATTACAAGTCTTTATTAATATTCTTATTCCACCTATGCAGTAATTCATTTTCAAGGTGAATAGCCTTGTCCTCAAGATTCTCCACAAGATGATGAATATTTCAAAAAAATTCCTAATTCCATTATTTTAACTTCCGAGCTAGATCTTTTAACTTAGATCGAAGGATATCCATAAAAGCACCTAAAACGAGAGTCGTCCAAACTCCTTTAATGAAAACCTTATAGTTTTTATGTTTCATCCATATAGGGTGAAACTTAAATAGAGAGTGGGATTGTCTTATGGAACCAAAATGGATCACAAAAAGGAATAGTCCGAGTGAACGCTAGCAAGATGTTAGACTAAGATAGCAAGAAGAGAAGGCATAAAATGGCCATTAATTGGAACTCTATCAAGTCTTTCCTAGATTTTGGCTAGCTTAGACTAATTATTGCACCACGTATACCGGCTACCCATCTAACCAACATCATGAACCCCAATATTATTATAATAATACACAAAATCTCTCATTGCTTGAAAGTCATAGCTTGTTCCATTAACTTTTTTTGACATATATGCTATGACATTAAAATCCCCCTGCTAATCAAGAAAGTTGATAAGGTTTAGATAGCTGACCTAAGTCTACCCACAGACTTAATCGCTCTACCCTATAGCACTTGGCGTAGATATAAAATCGGACTTCAACCATGCATTTTATTTAAACTGTGAATAATTGTTTAACAATATCCATACTAGTAACAGAAATGTCAAAATTCCAAAAAAGCCAGACATGAATTGTAATAGGATTATAATACATATGATTCATGAAGTACCTAGTGCTCATAGGGTTGCTTGTGTCTTTCTTCTGGAAGGTTGTGAGTTTTTGCTTTCTAAGTTATATTTTTTTATCGCTTTGTGAAATTTATTTACTTGAACCATTTTTGCTTGCTCAATATCTAATCAGTAAGAGGATTGAGATCGTGAGAGCAAAGGGCTACTGTTATTTTTGCTGGGAGAATAATTATTCAATAAGGAGACTTGCCAACCATCCCGTTGATCATCACTCTCTAATGTTCCATCCTTTTAACCATGAGGATGGAAAAATAACTAGTACCGTTCTTTGTATTAAATCTATAGACCTCATTCTCCTTATTGCCCAATTCTGAGTTTTGAACCAAAGTACAAACCTCAACTTGACTGTCAATAGAGAGTTATCCCTCATGTTGTCACCCAAACTTATTGTTTGCGTGGACCATTCGATCCACCCTTACTTGAGTATCCTTGAGAGTACCTAAATTGATAAGAACTCTAGCAGCACCTACGCCATTAACTAATGCTGGAGTAACAAACACATCATTAAGAGTTGGATCAGCATGCACATGATTGTCACAATGAACTATCTGGACCGTAGCCTCCAACTAGTTATCATCTGTTTGCTTAGCAGTAGTATGCAAGTTGTTGGCATGTTCGAGTACAATAACTTGCTTTACTTGTGTTATATTGGCTATAGTACCATGCATTCCATGTGAAGGGTGCACCAATGCAATCGTTGTATCTCCAATTTGTCCATAATCTTGGAAGTCTTCTAGTGTAGTAGCTACAATAGCATGCAAAGACATTACATGAGCAATTACCAAAACATTCCTATCTCCAGTAGTACTTGTTTGTGTAGAGGTAGGATGAGAGCTTTTGTTATTAGGGTGCACAATAGCATGCAATGTTTGTGGAATACTAGCTACGATATCATGCATACCAGAGGATACAGGTACTGATTCAGTTGTTGTGTCTCCATTTTTTCCCCTTAAAGAGAATGTCTGGATCATATTCCTATCAACCAAATTAGTATCTTCTATGGCAATACCTGACTTCAACTATTTGTATCAAATGATAGAAAGATGCAAGCTTTCGAGAGGAATAGTGATAGAGGCATGTGCAGATTTTATATGATCAGCTACAACAGCATACTTAGCTCCAGTTTGCCCTCCTAAAGAGACTACCTGGATCTCATGCCTAGTATAAGATTGATAATCATCTTCAGTGTTCATGTTAACATATATTCCATTAGTTCCTTTATTCATAACAACAGGCTTAATGATATTAGAAATACCATCTACTTTTCCTTGTCGATCTTATGAAGTCTGGACTAAAGAAATCTTTTGAGACTCATCACCTTTGTTGTAGTTTTTCCTAGTAACTAAAATCCATATTACTTTTCCATTTTCATTGCTTTTGTCTATAGTCAAAGGTTGGTGCTGCTCAACATGTTTTGGAAAAGAGGTAGTAGCAGTATCTGTAACTTTAGTTGGATGTACTTGGATCTTTTGAATTTTTGCCTGGCTGTGACCTATTAATCCATAGCCTAAACAGAAGGATAAATTTCTTTCATAATCCACTTTTTCCCAAAAGCCATTCTTCTTAGAATAGTCAATCCGTACTCTTGATGAAAGACATTCTGAAATATCTATCTCCACACATATGCATGCAAACATAAGGTGAGTGAGTGATCTTGTTCTCTCATCTGCTCTAAGGAAACACCTAAGCACTCACCTATTCTTTTCAAGTATGAAAGGGTAAAAAAAAATGAGAGGGAGGTGAGGTAAGCAAATCCAAGCTGCAATATAAAAACTGTCTTCTCATAATCCAAAATCTAGGTTCCATTTGTAGCTACCAATAAGCCGTGATATGCTGTCTTATCTCTATCAAGTTAAGGCATCCTTCGAAACCTTAACTACCAGAGTATTTGTGAACTGTGCTACTGCCTTATCTAGTTTTAATGCTGAAAAGAGGCAAGCCGGTTCCTCATTGATGTAGGAGGATTGCCTTGTTGTAAGGGGGAGGTCCTTAATAAGAGGCTAACTTATTATGACATTTTGTGACTTATCGTGAGATTTAAGCACGAGGCATAGCTACTGGGAGGGTGCTGAGCATCCAAAGGGTTCTACCCCAAAGGCAAGTAAGGGGGAATAACAAACCGTGGATCTGAATTTCTAGGGATGCTAGCCGCCTCATCGCTGATGAAAACTTGGTTTGGAACAAATCATAAAAGAGTTGCAACAACAGTGTCATTGTTGCAGCATTGCTGTCCAGATGTGCCTAAAGTCATGGCATATTATCCGAGTAGGGTGCGTTTGCCCTTCTATGGAGTTTTCTTGGATTTCTACTTGTGGTGGATCTCGTCTATAAACTTATCAGTTAGCTGTCTCACATTATTCTATTATTTTGAATACAATATGCTTTGTAGTAAGTTTGGAATAGCTTTCCTACCTACCATTTATTCTTAAAAATAAAAAATAAAAAATAAATTGCTTGAGGTACACAATTGCTTATATAACGGGATGGAATGCAATATGATTTAGTGCCTTGATTCAAACACCACTGATGCTATCCATTTTCTTCATGGAGTGGCAAATTCTCTCTTTTCCGGTTCTTCTAGCTTTCCTTCTCTTTATCATCGTGATCTTGAGAATCAAAAAGAAAGTGCAAAGCAACAACCTGACTCCAAATCTACCTCCTGGTCCATGGAAGTTCCCAATCATTGGAAACTTTCACCAGGTTGTTAGCACTGTACCCCATCAACGGCTAAGAGATTTAGCCAAGAAATATGGACCCATCATGCAACTCCAACTTGGTGAAGTTTCCACTTTTGTTATTTCAGTTCCAGAAGCAGCAAAGGAAGTGTTGAAAATCCATGAGATTAACTTTGCCGAAAGACCACCTCTTCTTATTGGAAGCTTGGCATTTTACAATCGTAAAGACATTTTATTTGCACCATACGGAGACTATTGGAGATGGTTACGAAAACTATCTATGTTGGAGTTGCTTTCTGCTAAACGTGTACAGTCATTCAGATCAATCAGGGAAGAAAAGGTAACACTTTTTATTAGATCTATTTCATCAAATGCTGGATTTCCCATCAACCTTAGTGAAATGTTCTATTCATTAGCGAATGGCATAATGGTAAGAATATGCATTGGTAAGAAAGGCAAAAACCAAGAAGCTTTCTTACCAATTATAAAAGAAGTACTCAAAGCGGGAGCAGGTCTCAATATGGTGGATTTATTCCCTTCTGCCAAGTTGTTTCACATATTCAGCTGGACGAAATTTAAGATCAAGCGGGCACATCTAGAAGCTGATAAGATGCTTGAAGACATCATAAATGAACGCAGAGGAAGCAGGACTAAGACGGTTGATAAGGATGTAGAAGGTATTCTAGATTTTTTTCTGAACCTCCATGATGGTGGAAACGCTGAATTCCCTATAACAAATGAAAACATCAAAGCAACAATCCTGGTTAGTATATATGTTCGAATAGCTATATACATACATACATATATATATATATATGCAGTTTGTAGAGAAAAGATGTTTATTCGTTTTACTAATGTTAATGTTTTTTCAGGACATGTTCCTTGCTGGTAGTGACACAACTCCAATAATTTTGGAATGGGCACTATCAGAAATGATAAGAAATCCTAAAGTAATGACCAAAGCGCAAAGAGAAGTGAGGGAGGTCTTTAGCCATAAGGGAACGGTTGATGAATCTGGCCTTCGTGAGGTAAAGTACGTGAAGCTAATAATCAAAGAAACCTTAAGATTGCATCCTCCTGTTACATTGCTTCCAAGAGAATGCACGCAAAGTTGCAAGATTCATGGATATGATATACAAGAAAAAAGTAAAGCAATGATCAACTTATGGGCGATTGGAAGGGATCCGGATTATTGGATTGAAGCTGAGAAATTCTATCCAGAAAGATTCTTATCTTGTTCATCTGATTACAATGGCACTGATTTTGAATTTATTCCTTTTGGAGCTGGAAGGAGGATGTGTCCTGGTCTGCTCTTGGGTATAACAACAGCCGAGTTGATACTTACTCATTTATTGTATCATTTTGATTGGGAACTTCCCAGTGGAGTGAAGAATGAAGATCTCGATATGACCGAGGCTTTTAGTTCAGTTGTTGGAAGAAAACATGATCTGATTGTCATTCCCATGCCATTCCGTCCTTCAACCATTGGATAAAACATTAAAGTTGTTTGTGTGCCCCTCAAATTCCGAACGACAAGGGGTCTTGCTGAGTCTTGTAGAACCTTGTTTCTGAATAAATTCTATTTCTACTTTGTATGGCTTCTTTTAATTTATTGGATGTATTTCTTTTTCACTTTACTCCTTTTTCTTTTTCCACGCGTGCAACGCACGTGGCCAGATGCTTAATTTTATTTTATTTATTTATTTTAAGAATGTAGTTTTGGATAAGTTATCTATTATTTAATTTTTCTAAAATTAATAGCACGAAGTAAAAAGATTGAAAAAACTAGATCATCTTTCTTGCATGACCAATTTTATTATGTTTTTCTACGAATTTTAATTTAAATATCTTTTTGAATTCTACTTTTCATCTTGTTAAAAATAAATGTAGCTAATATTCTTTATTGATTGTTTTAAGATGCAACCCCTTTTTATTGATAAATCATCAATTTTTTTTTTTTTTATCTCTATTATTGAAATAAACTTATTTCCACAATAGCTTAAGTCAAGGGATTACTAAGTTTTTCTTTACAATATATGATACATAAAATATTTTGTAAAATGATATCGAGGTGGTATATATTTACCCAATAACTAAAATATACTTAATGTTTCTACATCCTTGCTGTTTTATTTTTTAGTTTTATTTTTAATATCATTTAAATGTCTAAACCCTACTTCTCAAATTTACAATACCTAAAAAAACTTCCCAATATTTTGATTTGAAATCTTTATATCTCTAATTTTGTTGATAAAAGGTTTTTTTTTTAAAAAAATCTTCACTTAATATAATATCAGCAACATTAGTGTAATATTCATTATATCAAACTTTTTTTTTTTAAAAAAAAATTGTCCTTAAAAAATGCTTAAAATTTTATTTTGGTTCTTTGGTCAAAATATAGATTGCTTATGGCACATTAACCAAAAAGAATTGGTTTACTTTTTACAAGTGATTTACCAAAAACTCTAGATTTATCCATTGGCTTGTTATTAAAAAATTCTAATAGCCTCAAATTTAATAAATCTTCCGTGTCTTTTTATTAAATTGTGAGACAGGCTATCTTATCTTAAAATATAAACACTAATTCTTCAATAAACGATTAGAAATCCTTCAAAATATAGATTAAATCATGATACGATTCAAATCCATACAATACTTGAACTTTTCGTATTTTTTTTTGGTCATTGAGCCATACTACTTACTCCACGTACGTGGCATCATTCATATGAACTATAGATCAAATTTTTATTTTTTTTATCGAAATTATTTATCCATGTCATACTCAATTAACGAAGGTAGATATTTTTCTCGTCAAATTGAAAGCATACTTCATTTGATGGTGGGAGAAATTCTTTTGTAAGAAACTAATGATTCCTAATTTGTGATTTATTTGTTGAAAATCTTATTTATTACAAGATGTGAGTTATTTACTAATTTTAAAATTGTCATCTTGTATTAAAAAAACTAGTAACCTAAAATATACACTAATATAAAGATTTTTGAATAAGAAGTTGGTTATATCTTTGGGAAGATATCAATCACCCAAAGATACCCTTTTCAAAAAAAGATACCACGTTTGATTTAATCGTAAAAGTTTATCTCCTAAGAATTTCTAATTTTGTCAAAATTAATCATCAGTCAAAATTCCAAGTTTTTTTTTCCTGAACCAAATTATTATTATATTTTTTTGACATTATATTGAATAGATATTCATTGGGCATTATGTTAGTTCAACATCAAATTCAGCTTTAAATTTTGATGTAATAATGTATTGAAGAATGACCTAATTACTAAAATGATTGATTTGGGTTAAGATCAGTACTTATTAGATATGAGACTTTATTAGTTTATTCTTCTCTTTTTTAGTTTTGTTTATGTTTTGGCCTTCTCTTTTATTTTATCATTTTTTTAAATCTTTTTTCTTAACTTTTCTTTTCTTTTTTTAGCATTCTTATATATATATTTGCCATTGCATCTCTTTCTTTTTAAAAAAAATTCCTAGCATTTTTTTTGTTCATTTCTTATTACTTTTTCTTTTTTGTGGAGAATCATTATCAATTCTTAAAATTAAAGGCCTAGTAAAGGGCAAGAAAAAACTCAAAAAGAAGAAGTCTTCAACTATATTTATTGGAGGAGTGAAAAAGGTTGAGGCTCAAGATAGCCTAAAGGATATAGTTTGCTTTGATTACAATAAGAAAGAGTATTGAAAACGCAACTGCTAGGAGTACCTAGAAGGGGAGCAAAAGAAAAGTTCTACCACCACTTCATGTATTTATGTTACTAATGCCAATTCTTTTATTTCTAAATTCCTCCTCATGAGTATATTATGCTAAATGTGGTACTTATATTTTTGAAATATACAGGAGCTTAGAAAAGGAAGGAAGATAGCCTCGAGTGAGAATATCTCGCATAATAACAATGGATCAAGAGTTGAACCATTAGATATAGGTATTTATGAGCTAGCACTACCATATTGGGATGTGCTAAGACTCAATCATTATTATTTTAGTAGAGACTAAAGATCTTATTTTCATTTCTTGTTTTGAATAAAGTATTTCATTTTTAAGAATAATGGTTATTTTTAAATATGAGTTTTTATGGAAATATCTTGATAATGATTATATGATTTAAACATAACTCGCTAAGTGTATAACATAAATACTAGAAGACTCAAATGATCTAAATAAACATTAATTAGTAAACAACATCAAACTTAGTCATATAAGTAAGAATCTAATATCCAGTGCTACTTATACAAAGGATATTTAGAATCATTTTATGATGTCTAAGAAAACTTATTTACTTAACAAAGAGACATAGATCCCCTTTTAGTTGAAAAAGAGAAACAATTACTAATTAATAAAGGCCTTATATATAGGGATGTATATGGGTAAATGCTCACCCAAGCAAGAGGAGAACATGCTTGTCACATAACCTTTAATGATAATGGATCATGTTGTAGTTATAAGATACAAGTCCAAA